TCCCGCTCGTGCGCGCCCTTTTAATGGTCCTCGTGGTAATGCAATCGGCTGGGAGGTTGCCTTCGAGAGATTCTTCAAGCAGATGTTCACCCTCTCACCGAAGCTCGACTGCGAAGAGTGCCGGCATCTGCTGGCTCTGTTGAACTGCCCTCGGCCTTATGGGGCAGTCTTTGCGAGGCTCATGTTCATCTTCCAGGCCAAGATCATTGGCCACTACGCCGCTTGGCATGAGCACAGCCATAGGCCATCCATGAGTGGAATCGCATGTCATCAGAGTCATCATCACCATCAGGTCATCAATGAGATCCGCTATGGCGGTGCCACCTACGTGAGTACTGGACGAGGCCTTCCAACCGACCGCCGCCCCTTCATTGGTGAAGCACAACCTGGCAAGTCTCCCAGATGCTATAGACTTTTTAGGAAGTCTAGTCTTGTTTACTCATCTAAAACCCAAGAGGATAGCAGTAATGCTTTTTCCATTATGGTTCTAACGGGGGGGTAGAGGATGCAAGACAGGACGACTGAGAGCAGCCCATCTGATGCACCCAGTGCAGGACCCGCCGCAGTGAGCCAAGGTTCCAGCTGAAGAAAGTGGGTGGCTTGTACCTCGACTACGCAGCCATCGCATACTATGCGGCTGGGCGGAAACCACGGCCTAGCTTGAGACAAGTCGAGTGAGATGGTTTTTTTATTTGCTTTCGCTGAGGATGGGGTGACCCTGTTAGCCGGAGTCATACTCATCTTGGTCGCTGGCGGCGTTTCAGGCGGGGATTTTGAGGCTCTTCATGCCGAAGCATGAGGAAGAAGGCACACGAGGTCACGGCCGTCATGATCCGAGTTTCCCCCGCCTCTTTTGGGGGGGGCCAAAAAAAGGTGCAGGCGAGTTTGCGGGAGACGTCTGGTGGATCTTCATCTGCTTGGGACTCACCGTGGTCTCCTGGCTCTGGGCATCTTGGCCGGCCTCTACTTGGGGAGGGCCTCGATCGGCTCCCCCTTGCTCTCTTGTGAGGGATGCCTTTCAGTAGCAGGTTCGCTTAATTCTCTTATCCCAGATATGCAGGCGTTCGCCGCCTTTTTTCTTTGGGGGGGGGGGGGGGGGGGGTGACACACGACGTTTTTGGAAGGCACCCTTCATCTTCAATCCTTACCAGCTGCTCGGCTGTGAGTATGGAGAGGCACACTTTGTCAGAGCCAACAGTCACACACTTTCTATGGAGGCACATCTCGTCAGACGGAAAACCCACAAACATGCCGTTCTGCGTCACCAGACATCACTCATCTGTCGCTATTGGTAGTGGACCTTCGGATACTCTGAGACGGGGGTTTGGATAGTGCCGGCAGCTGCCTGTGAGGTTTGTGTGGAAGCATTTCAAGGAGGCCGCGGGTTAGGAGAGTAGGTCTTTGTGGGTGGGGGGGAGGCATCGACTGTTGGGCGTAGAGTAAGAAGGGAGCGGGGGGAGAGCGGGGGGAGTGGGAAGGCCGGAGAGGTGTAAGAAAGGCTACATCAGATCCATCAGGTCCGCCATTCTTTGCAGCCCCCTCTTGGCTCGACAGGATGCAGAGGAAGAGTCCTCTGTAGTGTGCCGGGTGCCGGCAGACGGTCCTTAAGCAATGGGCGCAGTATGTGGCACGAAGGCACATCTTCACGGGCGTTCACCCACTCGAGTTTTCTCTGAAGAGCTGGCAGTGCTTACGCGGAAGATCTTGTGCCTAAAGACGCTCGAGGTCGAGCCAAGTGAGGCTCAAAACTGGCAAACCTTGCAGACTCTGGCTGTCCAGGACTTCGTCCAGAACCCAGTCTTGAGCCAACTGCGGCAGTGTGCGGACGAGCGATTGACAGGCGATCCAAGCATTCTTGAGTTTGCGGGTGAGTACCACCTCTTCGTGCCGTGCACCCGAGGAATTGTCCACCTTGCCTCCGGCGATGGGCTGTCAAACTGGACGATCACAGAGCTGGCGGTCGATGAGCCTGGGGCCGTGTGTCCCTTCGTCCGCATCGTCGAGGGAGTGGCCCACCTCTTCTATGAGCAGCGGGGGAGCTCCACCTTTCAATCCGCCGCCATCTTCCTGAAGACTGCTTCGGTCGCTTCGGATTCGGTCCCCGCCTCCGCGGCCTCCCCCTGGTGTTGGAGCGAGCCGAGCAAAGTGCTGGAGCCGGAGTTGGAATGGGAGAAGGTGGGGATGTCTCGCGTCGGCAACCCCTACGTCGTTTACGATGAGAAGGCGGCGCGCTGGCTCCTGTATTACTCGGCATCCGTGACTTTCCTCTCAGATGCCCGGCTCGATGAGCCCATGTTCATCGGTGTCACGGAGGCTCCGGCGCTGGAAGGGCCTTATCATCGATTGCGGGGGACGCCCCTTTTCAGAACTGCTTCGGATATACATCCACAGATCCTAGGTGGGAATTTACTACAACTCTTTATCGCTTTGTAAGTTTTTGGGGTTCCTCTAATTTCATAGTAAGTGTGCTAAAAGTTAAACTTCCCAGGATCATCGGAGCGGGATCATTCAAGATGATCCAGGGTTTCGACACGCTCGGGGACTCGACACACAGAAAGATGCTGGCGTTGCAGAGCCGACTTACAAGGACCGTAACAGGTGGGGATGTGGCGATAAATTCATAAGGCAAGGGGTTTAGGGTTTAGGGTTTAGGGTTTAGGGTTTAGGGTTTAGGGTTTGGGGTTTGGGGTTTGGGGTTTAGAGTAGTATGGAAGCCAAGTAGGTAGGATCCCTCCTCTTTTAAAAGGATCCCAAAAGAAGGTACCCCCCTGTCATCGTATAGGCCCCCCAGGTATTACGGGCTCCAGCATTGCACTCCTGGCCAGCGCGGATGGCCTTTCCTGGAATGTGGTGGATGCCCACTTCCTTACACCCACGCAGAGGCCAGGATGGAACATGGCGTACATGCTCTCCTTTGACACGATCATGCCCTCTTCTGATGCCAACCACGTATTCCTGTATTACCATGCGAGTGAAGCTCCCGGCTCGAATGGATGTGTTGGGGTGTCTCGCATACAGAAATCGTTGTTGGAGCAGCTGGCCTGCAGCCAGGCGACTCGTGTCACAGCCTGCGGTCCAGCACTCGCACACCCTTCTAGTGATTAATTTCAACCAAGTAGAGCTTCGTTAATTCTTTGGCATGCTCTTGGCGTGCTTTGGCCACTTGGCTTCTCTCTCGCTGCACCGCTTAAACGGGCGAGTGGACAAGGGGCAGCCACATCGGAGATGGATTTAGGCTTCTTGACAGGCAAAGCCTGCAAGGTCTTGTCGCAGGCAGCTCAGGCTTTCCTCGTGGGTCCCGTCAACCTTGCTAACGCTTTGCCATAGCAAGAGCTCCTCATGTGACTCAAACTTGCTAACCTGCCATTGTGCTGGGCGCTTTGCTGCGACATTTTCCACGATCCTCCAAGAGGCCATCATCGACCATAGCAGCGAAGGAGGGTTTAAAGTTTAAGGCCCCAGAGCTTGCCCCTACAGAGTCGACCGTAAGTAGCGAAGGGTTGCCTGAGACCATCGCCAGGATTTTCGTGGTCTGGTGGCTTTCTTTCTGGAGGACGGGGCGGGGGCATCCCGGGAATGGCTTGGCCGCATTGGGGAGGGGCATCCGAAGAAAGTTTACTAAGCGTCCAGCCACGAAGTATCTCAGGAAACGCCGTAGCTGTCAGCATTTCGAATCCTTTGAGCTGTCACACAAGCTGTATTCTACAGCATCTGGAGCCTATGAGTTGTCAGCGATGCTGTAATCACAGGATTGGGAGCCGATGAGCCATCAGATAGCCGCATGTTGCAGTACGTGGAACTTGTGAAGAGTCAGGCTTTACAGAGAGGCAAAAGAAAACAGCGAAAGTAGCGACATTGCCCGTGTGCAGGGAAGCGGCCGGCATTGGGTGGAGTGGTACGACCGTACCCAGCTCAAGCCACGAAGCGGTGGACTTCACCGATCCATGGTGGACATCACGCCCTTCGACAGCACCAGGAGTCATTAGATTAGATCCTGTGCAGATATGCGCAATGCTCAAGTAGCTGGGCAAAGAAGTGGAGAGGCTGCAGGACCAATAAGGAGCCGCGTTCTTCGCCCTAACAACGACCTTGAGTCTGAGTTCAGGTTTGTGGTGGCCGTCTTCTTCTTGGCTGCATGGTATGCGATGATCAACATGAAGATCGACGCTCTCATGTTGGCCTACTCAGGCCAGCACCCGGGTCCAATCATACGCCGCAGCCCTGACAGCATGCTGTCAGGTGCCGTCTCCGGCAACGTGCTTCACATTGTGACTAGGCCGACTAGGCATATCATGTTGCGAAAGACTGGCGGCTGACTTTTTTTGAGGTTTTTCCGGCACTGAGCTCGTTGGTCTGCTGTAATTGAAGTACTTGCCAGGTTCACCGTGCAAAAGCCCCATTAATGTCATACTAAAGGCGTCAACAAAGGCATTGGGCTTTCCGCAAATCATCATAATGTGCAACCCTAAACCCTAAACTAAAACCACCTTGGAATCATTCTCAAACCAGGCCGTGAGGCTAGGCGCTATTGGGTTATTGGGTGCCGATGCTAAGCTGAGCACAGCATTTGCATGTGCGTCACAAGGCAGTGCTCCTGCCGCCGATCGGAGCTTCATCCGTGTACCTTGGCCCCTCATGCCCACCATGCCGGCCGCAATGAAACCCTAAACCCTAAACCCTAAACCCTAAACCCTAAACCCTCAACCCTCAACCCTAAACCCTAAACCCTAAACCCTAAACCCTAAACCCTAAACCCTAAACCCTAAACCCTAAACCCTAAACCCTGATCTGAGAGGTACTGTATCCTGGCCGTGCTCTTTGAGACACTGGTCGGCTGCTCGTCCATCCTCCGTCGGCGACTTCTCCGACCAAAGCGCTCGCTTCCCGGCCGCACCATACTGCCATGGGCTCCCCCGCTACCCCCCCCTGTACTACCCCCCCCCCCCCCCAGGCCCCCCCCATAATTAGGGCTATGTCGGATAATTAAGCCTAATTAAGGTTATCCAAGGGGGGAAGGGGAGCACCATGGAACACCCCCTGCAAGCGGGCCTTTTCCGCTCTTGCAGGATTTTCTTCGTAATTCCAGGCCATGTTTTTTGCGTCAGGAAAGCGAAGAGCTTCAAATTTGGCTCTGGCAAGTCTTCTGGCACCGTCGAGGACGTGGCGCAACTCAAGTTCTTGCAAGGCTTCACAAAACTCTCCGATGTTCTGCGCAGAGAGTGCAGGACGGAAAGCGTGGTACTGCCGTGGCCCCGTTGGCAGCTTCTGCCCTGCCATCAAGAAAATAAGGTGTGCCGAGAATGTGCCGTCTGAGCTGACAGGCTCGCCGCGATGTAGAATCGGGCGCACGCGAGTCGACCGGCGTGACGGAAGAGGAGGAGGAGGCGGGGACAGGAGTTCTTGCCACAACGCAGCGTATGCATGAAGCTCTTGCGCAGCTGTTCCATGGGCATCTCCCGAAATCAGCAGCACTTAAACGCCCGAACTTTATGACAATCCTTCTTCACAGAACTGGACAAATTTGAAGTGTGGACAGGAAGAGGAGGCGCCGCACGAAACGGCCCAGGCCTGCCTGGTGCTTCTCGAGCACGTTTAGGGTTTATATCATATACATATTAAAGAAATAAATACCTAAGTAAATGGATACACACACATACATACATATATATATGTACAGCAGGCCATCAAGTCAAGCTGCCTGGAAAGCTTTCATGAAGCGCTTGTTTCTGGATCGTTGCAAGGGGTAGGAGGCCTGTGTCGGCTCTTGTAGGACAATGCAGCTAGTCCGTCACAACAGGAGCAAGTGCTGTGTGGAAAATATACAAGGAAGAGAGATCAAGGGTTTGCGGCTCCATGTCCGAAAAGTCCAGCTATACCCGTCGGATTCAAGAAGTGTTCGGCACAAGCGGTCTTGCAACACTGCAGCAGTTGCCTTGGGGCTCCAAGCCTTTGACATGACTCCTGGCTAGGATCGTGACGTGGCCCCGGCACCTTCGGGTACAGCTCCCCCAACTGGGACGCTGCCTGGGGTCGAGGCGGGCGTGGCACGCGCCATACGACGGTCACACTCTATGGACCTCTCCTTCCCTTGCCCAGGCACCTCGGCAATGCTGCAGCTTGTCATGCATTCAAGAGTCAGGAGATGTCAAGAACAGGGCGATCGTTTCTTCTTGCTTCCGAAGAACCGTGATTATTGATTATTTTGGGTGCTGCGTGCCCCAACTCCCCCAGCCTCCCCCGACCCGCCCCAGGCCACGGCTGAGGAACAAAAAGAACTCGTGCGTAGGCCGAACGTATCTCAAGTCGAGCGGCGGGAAATGCAGAACCGCTTCCGGGACGGGACGCCCACCTCACAGGCCAACACGCCAGAATTGGAGCACGTAATCTATATGAACAATCCTCCAAGGAAAAATTAAAGAGGACAATTGGAAAGTGTTTGGGGGGTGTTTCGGTTTCCTTAGGGCGTAGACAATTTGTGGTGCTTTTCTAGGATAAAAAAGAATGTCTTGTCAAGGCACATGGTGTTTGCACTTGGCAAAGTATTGATTGCGTGGCATACTAGGTAAATGCTCATCGTGTACGAATGTACTGAATAGATCAGAATATTTGTTTTTGGCTAAACACTCTTGAAATACAAATCAAACACTGATAGAAGGACTGCTTGAGGACAACCATTTTAAACGACGAAGTCGACATGAAGTAAATGACAAAATCACTGTTAATTATATGCTACGAATGTTTCTGAATTATTGCTGAACTACTAATTATATGCTATGTCTGGAAAAGCACCATGTGCAAAGACACGCCTAGAAAAGCACGCATAATTTGCCTAGTGACGCCAACCTCGCTCCAAAATCCAACAAGCCAAACGTTTCGGGTGAAACTTTGGGGAAGTGTTGAGGTTTGGAAGCAGTGTGTTTTGTTGACAAATCGTGCGTTTATTCGGCAGAAGCTGAAACCGGATTTGTGTGTTTGCTTGTTGTTTTGTATTGGTTATGTTTTTGGTGTTCGCGACGTTCGACCAAGGTGAGTTTGGAATCCCGCTCCTCGGCAAAATTGCGAGACATGAAGCCGGGCGCCCTGAGTGAGCTCTCGCACGCAGTACGAGTGCCTAAGGCTCACCTTCTCCGCTTGGACGGTCTCGATTCTGGACCTGGCGGAAGCTGCATCTTGCCCTGCAGTTCAGTGTTTAGCCGCTCTTTTGGTTTTCCCTTCGGTCACATGGGCCACATGAGAAAAATAAAGCAGCAGGTGCGATGTGAAGAAAAAACGAACAGCATAGCAGAGGGGGCGGTGCCCTTGTTGGAGTCACTATTACTACATAAAACTGCCCAGCACACACAAACAGGACATCCTTCTGCATCGACAGAATCTCTGCCAATGTCATTCACAAGGAAGTAGTCGATTTTGCAGTTGCAGTCCAACATGGTGCCAAACAAAAGCACAACCTCGTCATCATAGCAAGCAATACATACCAAGAATAGCAAATCTGTACCGGTTTTCCTGTTGGTGGCGGACAGTCTCATATCCGTGCTCAGGTTTACGCAATCTATGTCTTCATCGTCATTGGCTGGAGGACACATGCATATGCAATTGCCCTTGCGCGGTAAACGCTGGGTAGGCTGCCAACATGTGACTCCAAGCATCTGTCTTGACAGGAATGCATTTGTTGCTGGTTTCATTCTGAAGTGGGGCTTGCTTGTCATGTGCATCTTTTTCGGAGACGCGGCGGCACGTGGGCACACAGAGAGCCTTCGGAAGCCTGACCCTGACAAGGGAGCTGAAACCGAGGTGAGGGCATGCTAAGGCTTCTTGGCCTGTCCGTTAGCTGTACACCTCTGGGGCCTGGGGCATTGTGTGGGAACATGTGCGGTGGACGAAGGTCGCGCTGCTGCAACATACTGGGCTGCTGTGGATTACCTCTGCAGCAGCTGGGGTCTGCAAGAGGGCGAAGAGTGATTCTGCCAGATCCTGCCAAGTCCAGCACCACCAAAAATCTACGAAATGGGTCTAACAAAGCAGGAGAGAGCTAGAGGGGCAGCTGCAACCCAACAGCAAGAGCCGATCAAGAGCCGATGAAGCAACTTGGTGGTTGAGGCTCTGGGTTCGAGCTCACCGCATGTCCCGGGACATTATGGTGCCGTGAGCCTAGCAGCTTCGAAACGTGGAACTGGCCCATGCCTCTTAAGGCATAACGTAATCGTGCACATGATACCATACAATCTGATGGTAGCATTTTGTACAACATGATATTTAATACATTTATATTCATGGTGATATATTTCTATAGAGCTCTGCAGTGCTATGCAGTGCTGGAGGCGAGCTCAAGATTCTCTTGGCCCCAGTAGCCGTGTTGGCTCGATTGACTCTAGAGCTTGATGAGAACTTGTGTCTCAGGACACCCCTTGTTTGCAAAATGCTTGGGCGGTGGACGCTCTTCGTGATAGCAGTGGCTGAGAGCCATGCGCACCGGCTGCGGGTAGCCAGTGAGCATCGGGACTGGCAGGACTCACAGCTGAACGTGCGACTGTGGACCTGGAATTCCGGGAAGGCGGACTTGCACCAGGAAGCACTGAGGCTGTCGCAGACCGATGCTGACTACATCGTGAGCTGCCAGACAGAGGCTTCGAAGCCAATAAGCAAATGGATGCCAGCAGAGTGGAAGGAAGTGGCGCATGGAGAGCACTGGGGCGCTGCGGGAGGCAATGTGAATGCTCAGATGGCTTCTGTCTTCGTACGTCGCCCAGTTGATGGGAAGTTCATGGGGAACCGCTCCGAGGTGAAGTCTCTCACGCCTTGGAGCAACTCCCTGGGGCATGAGGAGGTCATGAAATTCAGCCGCTTTGATGGAACGGAGTCGGAGGCCTTCAGGGTCCGGACGCAGGTGATTGCCACGGACTACAAGGGCAAAGGTGGTGTGGCTATCTCACTCAGCTTCCCTGAGACTTTAGCACGCCGGGCCACGCGCATCGATTTCATCTGCGCTCACCTCGACAGCGAGGCTGGCAAGGCCCGGCACAAGGGCATCACCTACATGTTGTCCAGAGTACGAAGCGACCAGGACAGGGTGAGCACGTGGCTGCAGAAGGACGTGCTCTCAGGGAAACTTCGCCCATGTGCCCTCTTCGACCGGGCCTCTCCGACCTGTGGCCTTCCGGAAGTTTCCGATATTGAAGCACCACCAGATGCCGTCGTGCTGCTCGGTGATCTCAATTTCCGCCTACGGCAAGGCGATGTCGACGTGAGCGAGGAGTCTCCCATGGCAGCCGAGATTTTGTCACCGGGTGGACGCCGCGAGCTTGCAGCCCAAGACCCCCTCTGGCCTCAGAGCCCGTATGCGGATAGCTTGGTGAAGCCGGTGGAAGCGGATGGGTTCGGGTTTTCCTGCAATGAGCCCTATGCCGCTTACCTTCCAACTTACAAGCGCCACGGCGGAGCAGAATGCAAACTGCTCGGTGAGCAGCTTCGCGATTGCAGCTCCTCCTACTGCAAGCAGGATGACCTCGTGAACCTTACGAGGAGCTGCTACATGAAGAGGAGCAAGAAAGATGGAAACCTAAGCTGGGCAGTGAAGAGAACGGATCTACAGCTGGGATGGTTGGACCGCTTCTGCTTCAGAGCGACGAGTGGCAGGGAGGAGCTCATGCTTTCAGTGATCGACGACACAGCTTGGATGGACACGCCAGGAGCCGAAGAAAGCGAAAGCGGCTCCGATCACATGCCTGTGGCGGCTACAATGCAGGTGGGCTATGCAAAATGCAGCTGCCCTTCGGTCCTCTCCACCGGCATCATCTTGGAGGGTTGTGAGGAGGCTCGTGGTCCTATCTTCCGGACGGGCGATCGCACGGTGATGCGATGTCTTGACGATGCTCAGCTCGTGGACCTGCAGGGTCGCATCTTCGACTCCGTGGCCATGCAATGTATGCAGGATGGATCCCTCGTGCCTCTGAATCTCCGGGGGGACATCGATGGCTGGACGTGCCGGAAAGTTTGCAGGGAC